TACTGCCCTGAGGAATACCAAAAAAGAAAGGAGAATCAGAGCTGTTGACACTATTAGACAACTTGACACATCATCATCATCATTACAGCCCTTCACAAGTCCACTGCTGAACATAGGCCTCCCCCAAGTAATGCCACAAAGCACGGTCCTGAGCCACCTGCATCCATCGACTTCCTGCATGTCTTACCAGGTCGTCACTCCATCTAGTGGGGGGTCGCCCTACACTACGCCTACCGGTACGAGGCAGCCACTCGAGAACCTTTCTTCCCCATCGGTTATCGGTTCTTCGAGCTATATGGCCGGCCCATTGCCACTTCAGCTTACTAATCCGTTGGGCTATGTCGGTCACTCTGGTTTTACTGCGGATATCCTCATTTCTGAGTCTATCACGCAGTGAAACTCCGAGCATATCCCTCTCCATAGCTCGCTGAGCGACCTTGAGCGTCCTCATACGGCCAGCGGTGAAGGACCACGTCTCAGGTCCGTAAGTCATCACTGGCAACACGCACTGGTTATACACTTTAGTTTTCAGAGATTGAGGTATACCTGACGAGAAGATGTGTCGTAATTTCCCGAACGCTGCCCAGCCGAGTTGAATCCGTCGATTGACCTCTCGGTCGAAGTTGGACTTACCTAGTCGGACTATTTGTCCCAGGTAAACGTACTCATCAACAACTTCGAGCATAGTGCTCCCAACAACTACCGGCATAGGTGTGACATGGACATTAAACATGATCTTTGTTTTGTCCCTGTTCATCTTAAGACCTATCCGTTGGGAGACACCATTGAGGTCATTGAGCATAGTGTTAAGGTCCTCCAGCGATTCTGCCATAAGGACTATATCGTCGGCAAATCGAAGGTGAGTGATGTACTCGCCATTGATGTTAATACCGTATCCTTTCCAGTCCAGTAGCTTGAAAACGTCTTCCAACGCAGCGGTGAAGAGTTTCGGGGATATAACATCACCCTGTCTTACACCTCTCTGCAGTTGGATAGGTTTCGTACTCTAGTTCTGTACTCGGATAGCCATCGTAGCCCTACTGTACAAACACTTCAGCACTTCAATATACCGATAGTCAACTAGGCACCGCTGAAGAGACTGTAGCACCGCCCAAATTTCGACGGAATCAAAGGCTTTCTCATAGTCCACATACGCCAGGCAAAGTGGCAGATTGTACTCTTCGGACTTCTGTACAATTTGCCGAAGGGTATGTATGTGGTCTATGGTGCTGAAGCCTTTTCGGAAACCGGCTTGTTCGGGAGGCTGGAAGTCGTCGAGTCTGCGTGCGAGACGATTCGTAATGACTCTCGAAAACAGCACGTAGACGCGGCTCAGAAGGGAAATCGGTCTGTAGTTCTTCAAGAGAGCGTTGTCGCCTTTCTTAAAAAACAAGACCACCGCGCTTCTGGTCCACGCCTCTGGAGTAGTGCCACCATGGAGGACGGAATTGAAGAGCTTCTGAAGGACTTCAAGTACCGGTGTTCCACCCGCTTTCAGAAGCTCCGCTGTAAGTCCATCCTCGCCCGGGGTTTTGCCGTTTTTAAGGTGGTGGAGAGCCATTCTAATCTCGCTCAGACTGACGTCCGGGATATCATCGGAATAGTGTCGGATAAGACTTGCTCTTGGATCGTTACTCACACTTGCGTGTGGCTCCAACGATGATGTGTACAGCTGCCCATAGAACCTCTCAATCTCACTCAGAATCTCAGGTGTCCCGGAAACGATGTTGCCACACTCAGTCTTCAGCCTTGACAGTTGGCTCTTTCTGGCAGACAGATCTCTGGCAAAGACTTTGGAGCCCTGGTTCCGCTCGATCGCTCCTTTACTACGAGCAGTATTAAAGTTCCGTAAGTCTCGCCGCATGCATTTGGAGATCTGTCTGTTCAGTTGCCTGTATGCTGTCAAATCTGTTGACGATTGCAGCCTCACTGCCACACACGCGGTCTAACAGCCATGAGATTAAGAGTGTGATCGGAGAGTTTTTGTGTTCTTCTGCGGCGGGTCTTGCAGAACTTAGCTCCGACCGCATGGACTTGACACACTGACATCTTAATTGCTTAATTTGCTTATAGAAAACTTAGTGCACCCGATCCCTAAAAAAGCTTGTTTTTTAAATGCCAACTCATGAGGTACTTTGAAGAGCATCTTTCGATCAGAGACCGTCAATACGGTTTCTGTCGAGGTGATCTCTTGGTTTACTTGACTCACTCATAGGTGGAGGCAGTTGAGACCAAAGGCCTCCTCTTGGCGGTTACTTTGAACATAGCGAAGGTCTACGATCAAGTTTGTCAGAAAGCACTTCTTTCGAAGCTTTGTGAATGTTGGTATTCCACAAAGCTGCGTGCTATCGCCTACCCTGACTTTTCTACATATCAATGATATGCTCCATACTAGTAACATTAATTGTTATGCATATGGCGATGCTTTAATAAAGAGAAATATTACTAATATTCTTGGGAACAGGTCGTCGAGTTCCGGAACAAACTTTTGTTTGAAGTCGAGTCTTATATTAAATATATTAAATAAGGTCTCGGATTGGAGGCGACAAAATCTCGTCTAGTAGCCCCCTAAAACACAAGTTTGCGCGTTTAAAAATAACCTTTTTGTCCTATCTCCTCAATTTGAGCACTCCTCTTGCTGGCTCAGCCAGCGTCGGAATACTTGGAGTCGACATTTCGAGTGATTACAGATGAACAGTAATTTGAAAGAGCAAGCTAAACTGTCATCGAAAAAGCTTGGTGTGCTCAGTTGATCGAGACGGCATATCTTGCCATCCTACCACTTGTAACTTTACAAAGCGTAAATTAGGCCTCATATAGAATACTGTTCTCCAAGTATAACCATGACCAAATTATGATCAAGTTCTATTCAATCGGCTAGATCCACTGGCCTTGCGAAGAAACGTTGCACCTCTGTGCATCTTATATTGCTTGTACCACGGGAAGTGCTCAGAAGAATTGCTCGGAAAAATTCAAAATACCTACATACTGAATGCCACCATTCTAAACGATAGAACTCGAAATTTCACCCTCATAATCTCGATAGTCCGATGGTTAGCAGTTCACTTCTGCGCGGAATTTGCCGCCTCGCATGACTATAAACGGAATTTACTAAGGCCTGCGGTATTTCCGGACCGATATAAGTTAGCGAACTTCTAGAAAAAAAAAACAGGAAATGTCATCATATGTATATTATTTTTATCACGATCTATCTAATAACACTACTGTATTATTATATTGAGTATAACTTAAATGATAATTTTATCTAGTATTGTGCATAAAGCATATTACATGTTGATCCGAGCTTCAACAAAATCAAATTAAATACAGAGCTTTGAATACGGTGGCTTTTAAACAAAGTGAATTGTTATGAGAACATTTTAGTATTCTCATTAAAATCTGTTTGTAGCACATAACCTACGGCTAAATTTGCTTTGAGATAAATAGCAAAATATGTAATTGTATTATTTTACCACTGAAAATATAGAAATAGCGTTAAATGACAACTAACAATATACAAAACTGAGGTGTTTGAGGGAAAGTGGCTAAGATGTCCACTCTTGTACGTATTTGGCTTACATTGGGCATAAAATGTAGCCTTGCAGCCAGTTTTGATTAAATTTTTGTTATAATTACCTAAGTATAAATGTTACGTAATGCCTTAACCTAAAATATATATTATATTGTAAATATACAGCATTACATAGTAGGTATAATTAGTTGCTAGGTTTGCTTATTTTTCATTATAAGAACTTTTAGACTGTAGTTACGTTAACTATATTTTATTGAATATAAGTAAACATTACACATATATGTGTGTAATTGTTCATTGTTTAAAAAACTGTGGATTACTAGTATTTTGAACAGAGAGCCGTAATAACTCAAAAGTTATCTTGGTTTTCGCGCTATCATTAAAACTTATTTGCAATTTTTAGTGTTCAGTTACCTAGTGCCTAACAGTGCAGCAAAATAATCAGAAATCCCTATGTACATGTCAGAAAATATAGGCTAACTAACTGTCCTAATTACTCTAATAGATAATTGTATAATAACAACAATAAAATTGAATTGTAAATATATACATATACAAATAAATAAAATTGAAGTGTTTGTTTGTAATGTCAACATAATAATAGCTTTTTGCTAAATGCATATGAAAGTAACGGTACTTATAACAAAAAAAAGGGTAAACAGTACTAACAGAAGGAGTAGTAGCGCTCCTAGTTTTGATTCACATTCAAATATTTTTGACGTTTATTCTTCTTAACTCATGGTAACTCAATTTTAACTCAAAATTATAGTAGTGTGTTACTACGCTTAAAGTGATTATAGCGCTAACCTAGTAAACCTTAAACCCCCTTTACAACTTTCATGTACAACCTTTGGATAAATTTAATCCTATCCATAAAGTTACGTAATAAAAGTCATATAAAAGTCTTATAACTTTAACAATTTTAAGTCTAAAAACACTACAGTGGCAAGAATATAGATTTCAAAAGAATAAACATAAACCAACGTTAGAACTAAGACAAATATCTCTCCTAACAGTTAATCTTTGAGGATAGCATATATTCGGACTGCTGGTGTGCACTTGATAGGCTATAATGATGAATGATGATGATTAATAAACAAAACAAAGTACCCAATAATGAAATTTCAAAGTTCCAGTTGTAAAACAACAAATAGTAAACATTCCGTGCGGTGACGACGTAATAAAATCTATCATTCTATTTATGTCGTAAGAAGCTACTTATGGAAATGCCAGAAAGAAACCACTCTGGTTTTCAATAGATGGTAACGTTATACCCAGACACGAGTCGCGAAGCATCGACAAGTTTGCGAGACCTTTGGTTCTCTCCACAACGGTAGAGTCTCATATACAGCAGTGAACTTTTAAGAATTGATAATGAAGAACGAACAAGATGATGAAGTAGCCTTTATGCTTGTAGATTAAATTAAGGGTTAATTGAAACAGAGAATATTTTGAAAATTAAATTCACCTCGTTTACTTCGTGAGTGCAATAGGCGACTTCGTCTTGATACCTCTGCAGATGCACGTGGAGCGCGCTGGCATCAGTGGCCTGCATCACAGCGAGCGTTGGATATGCTAGTTAGTGTAAAGTTTGGAGAAGTGGAGGTACAAATAGTGCACGCAAATGTGGGACTAGGCGATCATAATTCAAACTAAATATAATAATAATAATAGTACACACAACTTTTTTGCTTTTGATTTGAGAAATATTTGTGACTATTATAATATATATAAATGATCACCAAGTAATAATTTCTCTTTTATGTACGTAATAGAGCCACGCTGCAGGTTACTTATTTACTTACTACTATATTATGGTTGTAGCACGAATGGGTCAGCTCGGCAAGGATCATGCTTTCACAAAATACCAGCGTGAAATAACAGCTGCTGCTGTGTTTCGTATGGAGAGAACCGGAGACCCCTTTTACTGGATACGAGGCATTCCATCTCACTTCTCAGGGTGACAAAGCATCTAGATTTTGGATCTTAAATGAGGATAAATGTAAATATCTATGGGCCACAACATCCACTTTCCATTACGTGAACTGAGCTACTTTGTCACGTCACCCTTATTCTATTAAAAAAAGAGAATTCTCTGCACCATATCATCCCGTAAATGTTGTAAGAGGCGACTAAGGGCATGGAACAGGATATGGACTAAAAACTTAGGTTACCAACTTGCCTTACAAGCGTGGCAAATATGGCAAATATTTCCCTTACTTACGAGAAAATCTATATGTAAGACTAATGTTCAGTAGTGGACTATTGTAAGGCTGTGATCGCTGTTATGAATGAACAATTAATGAATATAAAGCTGTTCTTGGATTTATATTACAGGAGTACACGCCATAGATTATTTTATTTTACGGGAGTTCGTCTCATTGAACCAGTTATTGGTAATTATATTTGTTGATGCTACACAACTTACATGTAAACATTCTGTTTAAAAACCGAACCTCATACGGAAATTTACCTGTAGATATTCTTTAGATATTATATATAATTATTTATGATAAAAAATATTATGCACGTAAAATATTAATTTAATAATCATGTTAGATATGAACAAACCATGATAGTCTGGATCTGAATCACAATGGTGCTGACAACCAGGAAAGATATCAGCTGGGCGAGGGTGCGGTTGTTGTGTAAACGCTGCGAGATCTTTAGGGCTCGGGCGGACGTGTGCTAGGTAATACAAATAAATCAATTATATTAAATGCAGCATTTTCACCATATATTGTATATGTTTGTTTTATATGTGTGCATTGTTTAACTTTTTTTCTATATTTATTATTTTATAAACCAAAACTTACCTTGAAATCAATGCAGAGTACGAGGTATGTCGAGGCAAGAATGATAAAGCCGCAAGCTACAATGGTTCCAATAACGACGGAGGTGCTGAAAGAAAATATTTTTATTGCGTCGATATATATATATATATATATATATATTCAAAAATCATCGTCAAAAGTGTCACCCTCATCAGACAACAAGGTGCATGGCATGCCATCGTTGTGGGCATCGTTAGTATATACCAAGCATTCCGAGGGAGCGTTTCAGTTTGTCATCTATAATGTATATAGCCTGTTTGCTTAGATTTGTGTCGCGTCGCCTTGGCACGTGCTACATTTTGTCAAAGCCGCGGGCGCGACTTCAAAGGTCACCGCGTACGGCGTACATACGCAGAAGAATTTGGTATATTAAAACCAAGCGCCGTTGTAAAAGGTTTTTTGCTATCTAATTTGTGTTTAGATTTATATTAGTATGTTATTGCAATAACCATATAAAGAGTAGAAAACATTTATTAAAAAAAAACACAATAAAAATAATAAAATAAAAGCTAAATAATAAGTGTGCATCCGGGTGTACCGACACTATCTTAGCGAACAGACCTTACTTAGGATTGGTATGCTGTGTGGTCTATTCGCTAAGATAGTAGTAGTAGTATTGCCCGAGACTGCCTATCCAAATACAATGTGAGTGTCTCCAAGTGCGATTGACCACTAGATAAATAGATAATCAAATGTTAGCTACAGAAATTGAAAATAAATATACTATTGAGCAGCTACTTGGAACAAATTTGGAGTAAATGAAACACCAGACGAGATAGTTTATTTACGGTGTTTGTTGCTCAAACACGCACAAATGACAAATTGGTGGAAATTGAGCGAAAATATTATGACATGAAATATGGCGCAGATTTTTTATCGTAACGCAGAATGAAAAGCTTTACGGTTTTCGCCACCTCTTTTCTGTTCGCAACTTCTAAGCGAGCTAAACGTGGACAATAAATAATAAATATTTCAATAAATTTATCAAAAATTAACGAATGACGATAAGTTGTTGTTTATCATTCGGTAGTTTTGATAAATTTATGAAAAAGAAAAAGGAGTTTTACTTTGCCATCAATTATAGATTTGTATAACGTAAAATACCATTTAAATAACAGAATCTTAAAGTAATAGACTTTAATATAATATATTATATAGTAATTTTATTTAAATTTTTAATTAATATAAGATAATTTTTAAATAAAATTCTAAAATATCTGTTTTGTTTGTATAAAATATTTTGAATTATGCATTGGATACTTACACGCCGAAGATGAGAATCTGCACGATGACAACAGCAAAGTATACTACCAGAGAGCAGATGAAATACACCTTTAACATCCTGTCCCGTTCCGCTGTGTACTGTGAAATAAGGAGAAATGTATATTCGCAACGAATTATCAGTAGTTATACTAAAACAAGTGTTTTCGGGTAACAAAAGAAATTGTGAAACGGATAAATGTCACCTTAGGCCTTGGTGTAACAAACAACTAGTATGTTATTTTCTTACAGAACTATTATGCGACACATATACTGGGTGACTTTTTAATGTCTGGAGAATAATATGGTATTTTGTGTGAGTGTAAAAGAAGCTATCCACGAAAGTATTTATAAAATATAACTGATAATGCAAAATTTCCTAATATCAAAACAAATACATACTATGGCGTATATATAACAATTAATACTATGGCGTTGACGTAAAACTAAAAATAGGTGATAACGAGACGCATGCACATTTCTTTCGTTAGGAATTAATCGTCGTTATGTAGGTACCCATTGTATGTAAGAGCCTATACTACCTCAGATAAAATTCTAATTTCGCCCCCACTTCCCCTTTAATTGTTCATACTAACCCTCACTGTACGAAAAGCTTATACAATGCGAGATCAGCTTATACTGAAAATTCTCTTTGTAATATCGCCAAAAATATTAGGTTCGTCCTGCTACAGATGCCACAGCAGACTGATGGAATCATTGAACAAATTGAAAAGTATAGCACTATTACCTACCGCGTGCAAAACAAGAGACAGAAAGAGAGTGTGCTCGCTTAGAATAAAATAACGCAAGTGCCAAATCACATAATTGCTAATTACGAGAAGACCACATAGAAAAATAAAAAAATAATCGTCAGGATCTGAGATTATATTATTATCTATCATTAGGGTAAAAATCATCATTAAATTCCATAAAGTTTCAGAGATCTAATTCAAAATAAGTGCAAAACGATGTTTTTTCGTATTTTTTTCTATCGAATATTTTTTATTGAATCGTGTTTTCGCTTCAACTGATTTGAAGATTATAAGTCCAAGTTTAATGTGTCCAAATAGCAAACTCTTAGACCTTATAGATACCGAGATCCAGATCGCTCAATATCACCAAAACACCACATATGGACTCTTAAATTTCGAAGCATGTCTCTATCACTTTTTTCTATTATACGCTGCTTTAAATCGCTAACACTTTATGCTTCTTTTGTGTAAACCAATCGTTTTAATTCGGCCCATAAATAAAAGTCCCAATTCACAGGACAACCGCGACTTATCCACCTATCACCGAATTGGCTGTCCAGATGGCGCGCACAGATCGTTCGTAATGAGCAAGATATCCGTCGTGCTGGAAGTACATTCCATGCAGATGGCTCAAGGAAACTTTTCTCAACATTGTATCGATGACGGAACGTATCATTTGCAGATAAGTTACTCCTGTCAATTGACCTTTAACCCATATTGGACCAATGATGTAGTCGTTAATAATTTCCGCCCAAACGTTAACAGTGAAAAAAATTTGATATGAACATGTGCTTTGATTTTGTGTGGGTTTTGGAAACCCACTCGTTGCATCGTCTAAGTTTTTACCAGGCAAGACATAAAATTTCACCATAGCTACTCGATATGAGAGTATTAGTAGATGTTTACGATAACTATCGGCGAACGGCCGATACACATGCTAAAACATAAACAATACGTCGTCACACCGTAGATAATCACAGGTGACTGAAAAGAAATGAGATCGTTAGCGGGAACAGCCTTGCGCCTGCGACCCTGTGAAAGAACAAGGACCTTCATCCTTATCTTTTGTTTGGTGCGGCGAGTGCGTTACAAATTCATTGTTTTATTCGCTCGTAAAGTAGGATGCGTATGATTTGAATTTGGATAGTTTTTATTTGATTTATTTATTTAGTTAAAAAAAATGTTTTTAAGTTTTTAGTGTTGAAAGTTTATTTTAAATTAGTAGTATTTAGTGGTAGTGTAGTGTAGTGTAGTGTAAAAAAAATGTTAACTATCAGTGTTATATGTTTCTATTCCATTCACCTGTTACACCCTATTTTTTTCTAGACGGTAAAAATCATCCAGTATAAATTCCGATAATATTAATTTTATATTGGATGTAAAGTACTAAAAACAGTCACGAATAAAGCCTGTATTTAATTTTGCGATATTACTGTTTACACAAATTATTATTGGTGCTTTTGTCACGAAATACGACTTACAAAAATGTAACGCTTTCATTCAAATTTCAATTTTCTTTAGCAAACAATTTTTCGTGAGCATGAATACATGTATTCTCACGAGTCTGTTAAACGCTTTATCTATAATCTATATGTTAGGGCTTATCCAATGTTTTAGTAAGTTTCTTGTTTCTAATAAGGACTGTTGTGTTTATTGTCGGTGTACAGTGTATTATTGGTTTCATAATTAAAAAGAAGCAAATTTACACAACTAGAGTACAACATTTTTAGCTAATTGACCTTAATTTTTAGTATAAACTATACTAGCGGATGGAAGTAAATTCGAGATATTGACATAGTTTCTCCATTTAGTTTTGGATTGAGAGTAATTTCGATGACAAAACGTTCTATTTGAATACAAGTGTGTTTAGCTATAGCTACATATATAAAAGCTAATATTTAATACTAAAAAAGAACGGAAATTACGTGAAAGTGGATTGACAACTGTTTGTGGTTTTAAAAGAATTTCAATAAAACCTCAGTTCTCTTTCGTAGCAAAAGATACGATGCTTGAACAAGTTAGAGTTTATTGTTGCGTAATATTTTTTTAATCGCTTCATATAAATAAAATGGAAATTAATGGAATACTTTGGGAATGAAATATACAATAATAGAAATGTGCCTTAATGTTTTATAATAGAGGAATAAATAGGTTTGAGTAGACAAACCCTTATGTCAATTGACAAACTTTTATAAGCCATCGAAAAGATTTTTTCAAACAAAAACGTATCGCGCCTACAGGAGAACCAAAACCTAAAGGTTGTAGTTTCAAGTAGCTAAACATGTTATTTGTATTTTTTTTAAATATAACCCAGTTTAACTATTTAAATTGAAATGAGACACAAACTTACAGTCCACTTGACGGTAAGGGGCTACCGCAGCCCGTGGACTCCTGCACCATCTTAAAACAAAAAGGACTACAGATGCGTTGTCACATATGAGGACTAGGATGGAATTGGAATGCCACTCAGCCTGTAATTATACTGGCTCAATACCCTTCAGACTAGTGCACGTCACTGCAAGCACCGCCATTTGACGTCAGAAATAGGTAAGAGGGAGATCTATCCAGATAGATCCATAAGCTGAAAAGGAGTCCTCAGCTGTACATAGAACTCTTCTATAGTAGGAGGGTTAGCTGCATAGCGGATATCTAGTGCTTTAACGCCATTCCCTATCACCGGTCTGGATATATTCCATACAATATTGTTATATGCTGGTTCTTCACAGGACAGAGGTTTTTTTTTGAACCAGTGTAGTGGTAAATTAAAAAAAAGTAACTTTCAATAAGTATTATTTGTAATCTGTATTGAATTAAAAAAAGTCTGTTTCTATTTATTAGCATTATACTCAGTGAACGCATTTAAAATATGGAAGTATTACTTCATGGGAATTAATCGTGAAAAATGGCACAATATTTCAAACAAACTATTGTAGTTTCACCGAAGACAAGCTGACATTTTTTCACAATCCTCCTGATGGTAAGTGTATTCAATGGCCCATACACATCTACATTTATCTCTGATTAAGAATCTAAATGCGAATGCATTTTAACCCATGAGGTCTAAGATGGAATGCCTCGTTTCTATTAAAAGTAGTCTCCGGTTCTTTACACTCACCATACGAAACACAGCTGCAGTAACCTGCTATTTCACGCTGGTATTATGAGAGGGCGTGGTTTTTCCCCGGTCGAACCGACCCATTCGTGTTATAATCATATTATATGTAGATGCACCGTGGCTCTACCACGTTTAAAATATTCCTTTCATTTCGATTGTTATTGGTTTTAATTATCATAACAAATATTATACGACGCCATTGTGGCCGTTACTTATCACCAGGGACATTATATGTAATAAGATGCAGTGCAAACTATAATTGATCAGTATTGCCATAGTTACGATATATGAGTTATAATAGTTTGTATCGTTAATTAGTAGTGCATAAATACTGCAGCTCAATTCGTTTTGTTTTGAAGCGATAAATGCTACCTAGTTTTATTAGCGCTAAATTAAAAAAAACATTATACGTGGTAGAGCCACGCTGCAGCTCTTTTGTTGTTGTAGCACGAATGGGCCAGCTCAACCGGGGAAGAACCCAGCTCTCACAGAATACCAGCGTGAATTAGCAGGTTAACGCTGATGCGTTTTTATGATGAGGGTGGAGAACCGGGAACCCTTTTTACTGCATACGATACATTTCATCTTAGTCCTCAGGGGTGATAACATAGAATACTATAATACATACATAATATAACGGAGGTGTGGGCGGAGCCCGTGTAGCCACTAAAATGCCATAAGACGTCAATTCACACGTATAAATGTCAACACGAGATGTGTTTTGACGTTACAATCGTTTCCAAATTTCGCATGCAAATTATTTAAAAAATGCCAAATTGCACGCTATTTGCAAATAAATATGTACTAAAATCCGTCTGTCAACACAGCAAATCGGGTTCGTAGTAGTGATTAACTGATAATACGACGTAATTGCTTGTATGTGTGCTCCCGGCGACGCCAAACCTCGGTACAAAATAAAGTTGATAGCCATTCTATTGTGCATTATAGTATTCTATGGGTGACAACGTATAAGTTGGACTGCGTGCTCGTTTGTCACCTTAATTATTTAAAAAAAAACGGTTATCGGAAGCCATAAGAACTTTTTTAGCATTTCCATTGTCATAGATACTTTTTACAACACTTCACAAGATGTCCCCACAGTTTTCAGTTTAAATAAAATAAAATTTTGGAGTTTTATTTAAAAATTTCTTCTTCACTTAATTTATAAACTACTAACTAGGTCACTTAAAATGATTAATTTTTAAGTGACCCTTATTTTATTCATTATATTTAGACACCTTTTAACTTACATTTTACCATGTAGTGGCGGTGTAAGAACATCCATTAACCCATTATCATACCGTGAGTGTTGCAAGAAGCGACAGAGGAAATAAATCTGTAGACGGGCAGCAGCATCTTCCTAATAACTTAAAATAATGACTAAAAATAAAATAACGTGGTTGCCAACACCATTGCCAAGGATAACAACTACGGAAAATCCCTATGTGGCATTCTATGAGGGAAGACTATGTTCAGCAGTGGATTTTAATAACTTGTAACGGTAACGGTGATGTAAATTTAAAAATGGACTCGCATTGTATGCCATACTTTTATAAGTTTTTAATCAACAAATTTTTCCTTTGATAAAGTTACGTAATATTTATCCGCATACACAATCCTTTAGCATGATTGACTATATAAAAAATTGCGATATGAAAATTGACAGAAAAATGATATTTTGGAACATTATTTCTCCTATCGCCTTGCGGATTGAAAATGATTTAATTTCTCTACTGTTTTTAAGCTATTGCATAGCTTCTATCGCGGGCCTTGAGCGCGGGTACCGAATCCAGAAATTCCGTAACGAAAAAAACCTCACGCTCCTCACTCCGACGGGCACGGAGGTGTGGCGTTGAAAGCCGTGCATCGTCTAACGTCGTTTCAGTTCGGCAGACTTCGGCACGGTGTTTGTGTGCGTGCGACTAGACGTATGCGTGTACACTAGCTGCTAACTCAATGATAAAAATTCCTGAATAACCTACATGTATTGTAAGATATTAAAAATATTTTAAACAATATTAACTTCTCATTTATTTAATAAGAGAAAAAAAATTGTTTTCTTATCGGTCACCACGCTCAAAAAGTGTAACTTGAATTAATATCAAAGACTTAACTGCATAAATAAAATAAATAAATAATTATAATTGCATAAGTTGATAAAAAATGCTATGCAATAGCTTTACCGCGGCAGTCACCGAGTGCCACACGTATTTTTTTCCTTTATCTCTTTTTTATCCGTTGACCTGTTGCATAAAGTATCAACTATATACTGTTCTATTTTACAAATACCTTGCGTTCGAGTTTGCTGTCGCGGAAGGTGAGAGTGAACGGTTGGCAGTGTTCGGCGCGCAGGCGATCAATGGAGCGGGCGTCGATGGCTTTCATCAGGTATTCATTGACTTCGTCCTCAGGCTTCTTATTCTCGCTGCTGGTATCGATCCTATAGATACAGTGCAACAGAAGATCAAACGTTTACAAGTTAAGTTTACAAGATTAGTAAAATGCGTTCTGCTATTTCAATCTCAAATTTAAAACGATTTAAGTCAACAAAGAATCTTTTTGTATATTATGGCATAATCATCATAATAAATCCCTTGTCATCCGCTAGAAATACCACATACCACGGTTCCGTGCACACCCGATCCAGCTGCGTACATTGACTTCGTGTACCTCTCAACAGGTCGTCTTGTAACATATGATATAATATTTCCATGCCATTTTAATATGTATAAGCATAAATTGAATGCAGCGTAATTTTAAATCTGTACTTTTAAATACCTGTGTAGTTTCCTTGGCATTTGGTCGAGCATAAGGGCTTAAACCACAATATCTAAATTTGTTGAGTATTATAATCCAATGGATTGATTCTATGGATAGACTCAAATTTTGACATTTTGCAGGTTGAGTTCAAACTGCACAATGTCAAAAAAATTCTAAATAGCTGCCTAAAACTGCATTATTAGAACAATGAACTTTGACTTCAAGTTCATTCCGAACTTTTATCGTACGACAAAGAGAAATAATGTTAGAACTGGCCGCAAGGGGATGTCGTAGCACTTAATTGAAATTGAAAAGTTGTGAGCTCCGTACATTTTTAACAAGATCGCTGTCTTAAAAAAGAAAACAAATCTGCGAAAGTCTTTATCCGAATGAAAGGAAAGTAAATTATATTTGAAACTAAATTACAATTTTTACGACTTTTTCGGTAAGATAGAAATTTTTGTTAAACTTTATTTTTATCAACTCTTAAAATACATAACAGCCGAATGTTTAACAATAATCTGTGTTTATTTATAGAATGTTTATGCAAAATACTTGATAACTTTTTGAAAAGTAATTTTAAGCAGAAATATTTTATCGGTCTCAACTTTGAATTATTCGTAGAGTATAAGGTAAACTAACAAAAGAAAGTTTCATATATACATACCGAAATACGTCTACTCTTGAAACAGTACAACGATAAATTGTATATGAAGCTAAAGATCTCAGTCGTTTATGATGGATTCTTGACGGCGTTTGGGCGGGTGCAATTTATTAATTACTAATTTAATTTTAATACCAACAAGCTACCTTGAATTTATTTTATTTTATTTTTTATAAAATAACGTTGACTGATAAACGAAAAGAGTGTGTAAGAAATGCTGCCAAATGGTGTGAAATTTACTTAATTTTTTTTTGATATTTGTTAAAAAATTGATCATAAGCTTCTTTAATGTCGTTGTACGCTAATTTAATTGTAGGATCTTCTAATTGTGTTGATTCCGTATATTTACTACAAACGTTACCGCCACGTTTGTTCGAAAATTTTAAAGAAAATATTGCACAATCAAATATTATATCCATTTAAATTTATTAAAGCAACAATCTACTGGGAACAAGTCTCCTTTAAGAGGGTTTGCACTTAGCAAGGAAGAGTGCGTCGCGCTGTTATAATGCGTATTTGCTTTATGTACGATGTAGATTGAGCTGGGGTAAGACTATCATAGTTTTCTACCAGACAGCAAAAAAAAAAACGGTTTTTGTGAAGAATCTGTTTTCCCTATATTTGAGGTGTAAATTATACTGATATGACAATAAAATAAACCTTTTTATGATTACAAACATTTTCGTATAAGCGTTTTCAAAACGGTAATAATGAATCAGAATCAAAATAGTTTATTTATCAAACATGGGCTTAAACATTTAAGGTCTTGTGAGGGTTACAATTATTAGTACGCTATGTTTTGTCTTAAAGACATACTAACAAATAATTTATTGAATCAAGGAGAAGAGTCATAAAAAAATTGAAATTAACGTAAAGAAGCCGATAAACAAAGTAAAATAAAAGCATCACTATGTTGACTCCAGTGATTATTCCAGTAAACCAGTTAATTACAAAGAAAGCAGAGATCACCGATTTTTCAAATCTGCTAAAAACATTATGAAGAGCAAAGGAGAGACATTGAAACATTAGCGTTTTATAAAATAGTAGAACGCGGAAGGTCTTATTAGCAAGGAGATATTGACGAGTATACAAAAGAGATACCAAGCGACGTTCATGAAGACAGCTTTGTGGATGTCAACCTAATAGTATGATTTAACTTTTTGTGTTTACCTGATTTTCAATGTAGAACAACTAACTAGTTTATTTTCAAATTGCATTATTAACTAAAATTGCCCTTCTGCATTTTTATTTCCTGACCAGTTATTGTTGCATATCATTGACCATTACCATAGAATGACTTATGTTTCAAATCCCGCTATTTCACAAAGCTTAGTTGCAAATGCCCCCATAAGATTTAGTTTCAATATTAAGCATATTTAAAATTCAAACCTGTTTTTATCTGGTTTTTTGGTAGTAATGGCAGCTTTTTTTACTATGTTATCTTTTGTTGCCATGGAAGTAGTGTTTTAGCGGGATTCGCAACAAGACGACTGAATTTTAAAATGATTTTTATGTGACGTTTTACGGCCATATTTACTTGCAGTGGCAAAATCTGTGTTTAGCAAACATGAACTGTTTTAGCAATTAAGTCCATTAATTATTAGCACAAGTAATTAAGTACTGTTGTTTATTACCAAAACGGCGACGTGTTTAATGACTACAGGAGAAGGTAAACGTTTGAGATCTAATACGAGCTTTAAACGTTATATGTCATTAAGTGATAAAAATAAATGAACCGTTGTTTTCCACCTTGATAAAATTAGATTTGTTTTACGAATGATTTGCTTATTATTGCTTCTCAAATGGTGTGTCGTTTGCATTCGAAGAGAACGGTTTATATCTGGTCGTACTTGGGATGGAGTTATAGCTTTAAATAAAATCATACTTACTTTGAAGAATGTTTCCCTTGCTGAGATCCGTGACCCATAACGCGCATTTCCTTTGAAATATTTCCGTTGATTGCAAACGTGTGTTGGGGTTTCTTGTCCTTAAAAAAGTTTTAGTTTAACTTTAAATGTTAATGTTGGCATACTTTAACTAAAACGTTGAGGACGCATATCATTAATTGCGCTGCACTTATTGACGATAAACTTTAATTAAAATACATTAAAAATAAAGTTGCTACAAAATGTACGAGTACGTTGTTGATAGTTATTTCCGTAATCGGCATTTTGATATAAATCCGATAACGAAAACTCAAGTTGTCTAGCAACAACAAACCAAGCTATGCCAAAAATTTCAGTAAGTAGTAAAATCCTTAAAGGTTGGAAACGATGTACTCGTAAGAATGGATATTTATATATTTTAATGTCTTATTGACAATAATGCCAATGTAGGAGCACCTAGTGTGCTCCGTACACCTCCGAAACATCATGGAAAACGGGTCCCTATCTGCGAAAGGGTCCCTATCCCCCTATTGGATATGATTCTCTTTAAATATATGATGAGGAAACTTCAAGCTACTATATACAATTCTTTACTTAAATTTGTTTGTGTTTTTAATTACACTTAGTTTTATTTTGTTCAACATTGTAGGTTGTATTCTTTGATTATATACCTGTCTATATAATCAAAGGTTGTATTAATTCATTTTATTAATTCCATCAAGAAACAAGATTACAGCTTTATGACAATTATTTTGCGTTCCTCTAAAATAGAATGAGTACCTAATATAAACTCAGCTTATTTTTGTTAATAACCAAAGGAACGGGCATATTTTAAAATTTTGTTTATGTCATATCGTTACAGGATTCATTGTGATTCACAAGGTGTCCGGTTGAAAACAGTTTGTTTTGATGTTAATGTAATAAATACTTTGTTATTGTGAAACTTCACTTACTTCTTTACTTAATAGTAAAAATAAAAATAATTTTTGCTCCAAAACTTATAGCATTTTTACCTATTTGCAATAACATTTTAACAATTTAAACTTGTAAAGCCACAAGGTACGTTAGTTACATATGGATGTTAGAAAAAAATGTTTTAAGTTAGTTAGAAAATTAACTAAGTAGTAAAAGCTAAAAGTGGGGCACCGTCCATGTCACTAAGAAAAGTTGGCACTCACGGTGTACTAAAAAGCAAATTATCACGTTGATCGCTTGTTGACCGGACCGTTTTGACCGGAATAGAGAGACGTCGCCGGCAAGCTCATTCAACACAGGGTGAGCAAGTACTTGTAACCTTTTCTTTTTAAAGGTGCTGACTTCTTTTTTGTTATTTGAATTGATTTGGTATACATAATTTTTCTCTAATTTAGACCTACTTTAATGCACCTACAAAATTATTTATGAGTTAACCAACGCTAAAGTTAAAATAAACTAGCCTTTGTGTTTATGTAATTCACCCTTTTATATTGAGTTACTATCGAATTTTGTTATCTGTCAAGACACACAGATTGCAATTATTAAATGTTACGTTACGAATTTGACTTTCTATATGACAATAATTATTATTAAGGCTGTTGCTTATCGTCTTAATAAAGAAATATTTATTAATGTAAAATTTAAAAAAAGGCTTGTTTATCTTCTGTTTTATGGGACCCGCAATAGATACTAATTGTCTCGCTTTTCAAGAGTAGAGTTGTTCCAACGAGAGAATAAATTTGGAAGACCTTAAGTTCTCAAAATGGAAGTTAATATATATATTATTAGATAATCCTGTCGCACTTTAACCCACTTTCGTGGACATAACATAATAAAATTATTTGATACCATAATAATTGTATTATAATATATGTGATGTAGTACATAATATATGTGATGTGCTTTGGTATTAAAACTATAAATATTTATGGGTCGAATAAAAATTATTTATTTCCTTGATTGATTCATTTATTAAATTATTATTTGACTTACCACGCGGCTCGTGTCATCAGGAACGATCAGGTAAGTCTCAATGTTGTGATCTTTCAAGTAAGCGTTGCGTTGGCCTCCGTATCCTGGCTCCACCTTGTAGTCGTCGCCAAGGCATCGTAGGGTTTCTTTGGTGATATGCACACGCCTGTATAAGAATATTTTATAATATATATGACTTAAATTACAGAAAAGTTTCATGGCTTTCAAGTAAAACAAGATTGATAAAAAGTTAAATACTTAGATTAAGAGTTGCGTAATATAAATACAAAAGAGTTTTTAAGGACTATTTATTTTCAGAATTACAAAAGTATCTTGCTTTGTCGCTGTCGGGTATAAGGTGGAGTTATGTTGGACTTGCTACGACTAAATCCTGTTTTCCATCGTTGCCTCTTATTTAATAGGATTTTTATAGGATTCTTTATAGGATTTCTGTCGGCAGAGCTCCAGGGCTCTATTCTTCTTAAAAATACACGAAAACACAAGGCGCGTCTTTCCACAAAGCTTTCTTCCATCAACACCTACGCAACGAATCCCTCTGAATACCATGAGGTTAGAAAAATGGGCATTCTTAAAAAACTGAAGTAAACAACCAACTTACAGTCCACCTGACGGACGGTATTGGACTTTTGCAGTCTACGGACACAAACGTACACAAGGTAAGGTAAAAGGTAAAGTAATAAATACTTGGAAGGACCAGCTTTTCCCGACCCCAGTTTCATAGAATTGCACTACGGAGTAATACAACAACTAAAATCTTGTATCTATATCCTTAAGCCTTCTTGATAGGCATAATAAAGAAAGGAAGAAGAAAGAAAGAAAATTATTCACCGGTACACTATAAACATCACATAAATAAACAATTCAGGTGATTAAAACTGAAATTGGGTGTATATCGAGGCAGGGAAAAGATTATAACTCATCGTAATGCTGCAGGGTAACCTACAGCGCTGATTATTTTACCATAACTAACAGGTACGCGCACAATCCATCTGATTGTATTTCTGCAATATATTTTACAGCTACTTTTATAGATTAAAATATTTCAGTGCCTCATAAATATAGTTACATATACATTAAGAGATATACACAAATACATACAAGACATATTACACACACAGATTCTACATATATAATAAAATTCCTAAATATATGTAAAAAATAAACGTAACCATAGGTTAGCCAATAAGTTTTGAAAATACACAATAACCACAAACATAATTATATTGCTCAACGATGCTGGAAGAAACATATCTGCTAGAAGATGATGAGATGATGCTGCAAGGTTGAGCTCTTTGTAAGTATAATAAATACTATTTAGAGCGTAATTAAAAATAAAAATTTCGAATTACACAAACGTAAAGGAGAAGGAATGTCATTCCAGCATCTAGTGGCTGCTCTTCTGAAATCTGGAAAAAATGGGTGCGTTTGGCAGAAAAAAGCGCTAGCAAGCGCTTGTAAGCCAAATGGCGATCGTAAGCGGTAAGCGCTGTCAAATCGTAAGTAGCTATTTTCCTCTAGGACACGAAGTTAGCTTTAACTGGGGAACCTAACATAATTTAAATGTTTGTAAAGTATTTATATTAAAAATTTACCAATCATGAATTTTTAATAATATGTTTATGTTTATTCATGTATATTATATTACTTAAAACTAATATTGCACAATTCAACTTATAAACTCTACTTCAAAACAAACAAATTAAATAAGCAAAATGGCGGATTGTGTCAGCGCTACTGAAGTTAGCAAACGCGTCCTGGTCGAAAACTGTTTAGTTACTCCATTTTGCTTACAAGCGCTTGCTAGCGCTTTTTTCTGCCAAACGCACCCTATGAAGTAATTTTAATTTTAATCTTACCCAGCCACACCACCACTTTCCATGTGGTTAGCGAGCGTTACGTCATTGGACCACACGTCGAACTGCCACTTGCGGAGGCCTAGCACAACGCAGTGTACGCGCCCGGTGTGGATGCCAACGCGCATGTTCACGTTCACCGCCATCACTTCACGCACCAGACTGTCAACAACAAACAAATAATAGAGAGAGAGCCCGGCAACCGTTGGGTTGCAGATGCAACCAAGTTTCTCTTTCTCAAGAAAGTTTGTGTTTAGATTTTACATCACGGCAGTACAGCCAATACACACCTGATCTTATTCTATTCATGTTATATCGAATAGGTAAGGATCAGTGAATGTAGTAGTACGTAGGTGCGTAGACGCGTAAAGTTGTGTCACTGTAACATATTTTATTTATTTGATAGTTCTCGACAATTTTTAGAAGTTTTCGTTGTGATCACCATCGATTAAAAGAAAATTATTATTATACTTCTTCTTTAGATTTTTTGAAGCCGTTCTAAGCATACTTTTCTTTTCTCTTTGTTTTCTTTGAAAGAGGTCTTCACAAACCCGGACAGGCGCATTGGTGAGCGCAGAGCTCTTTCACCGGTAATATTGCTTTTAATCAGTGTATACCTTTATTTCTCCCTACCCTTTTTTTTAAAATGAATATTAACAATGCTTATTTTAGCATTGCTTGTGTTACGAGTGGTTCACGCCAGTAGTCGAATGGTGGTGTGGCGGCGCTGTCGTCGCGCCGCAAGCGAAACACATCGAAGCCTAAATCACGCTATAAAAATTCTGATTCATAAACAGTATATATAGAACATCTCCGAACTATCACATGGAGTGTTGGCCGCTCCCCGGGCAGAACACCTTGCCCGGCGGGAGATCTCCCCTTTTCCTACTACGGCCACAGTGGATTCGAACCCACGACCTTTTTGAGTGCACGGTCCGCGCCCTGCCATTAGGATACTGTCGCTTAAATTTTTTTTCTCAAAAAATCTTTTATCATCGGATAGTACCATTGTTGTCAGTATTCCACGCATTAGAACCAAATGGCTTAATTTCGTCTTTTAGAATGCGTACAGCTAAGGAGTAGAATTATCTGCCGCCGTCTGTCTTTTAATCAGATTACAATCTGGTCGTCTTCAAGTCACGAGTGAATTAACTTTTGTTACGATAAGACAATGTGATTAAACATTTAGGGCTTCTTCTTATCTATTCACAATATCGAGTTAGCATCACATAATGGGCACCCACAATGCCAATATTTCTAAGTTCTATTAAAATATATTTAATGAAAATCGTAAAGTAGAGATAACTTAGTAAATTAAAGTGTAGCTTATTGTAGTAAACTAAGGAAAGTTATTAATAAAGTGACGTATTCTTGGTAAGCTTATGCTGCGAAACATTGTTGATGTCAACTCCACGTGGCTATTTTATGCGCTGCTAAGACATTTAGGGCTTCATCACTACTTTCCATCGGGTGTAATTGTATTTAAGCACTGGCTTATAATAATTTAAAAAAAATCATTTATATAATATAAGTCGTATTTTTGACGGATTTTTTAAAACTAGGGGTCTTCCCTAGTTCATTTTTATCATTTATTTAATTACATCATTTAATTTAATTTAGCGGATGGTTGCAAAGTTACTATTAATACTTTTATTATAATGGATTTCCGCAAAGTAACGCCTGATGCTATCAAGGAGTTTTTTTATATTTTTTGGGATGTTTCGGCAAGACGATTACTTTGAATTAATTGTACTTTTGTCATTTCATTTCTCTCTGTTGCATGCCGTGTCTGCTTTAAAATAGTTGTACATCAGCCGTAAGTAATTATATAAGCAACATTCTACATAAATGTGCAACGCTGAAAGACATAATAATTTAAAAAAAAAACTAGTATTTTTTCATAAAACTGAAATGACAGACGAAACTATGTACATTTCATTGACACCTGCGACAACCATCACATAAAGCAGGCTACAGATGTGCTGATGGGGGAGAAGAAGTCTTCTCCCGTGGAGTAGCCGTCGTGGGGCGGCCAGCACTGGTAAGGCCGCGGATGTGTGTGAAAGCGTTCCTGTGGCGCTGCAAATACGCGGCAAAGGTGGAACACCATGGGGTTTTAGTCGATGTGAGCCCGACATAACCCGTCTTTACCCCCGCGAGGTGAGTATGCGTAGACGTTTCCTCACATATGTGCTGTCACCTCTGAGGACTAAAGTAACAGTAGTAGAAACACGGTTTTATTATATAGGCAATCTATGGGGGAAGCTTGTGGTCAGCAGTGGAATTTTGGTAGGATATATAAATATGTGAATGGAATATTATTTGAAATCTATAGACTATGTTAAACTCTAAAAAAATTATTCGATAACATTCTCATTTACGCCAGACGTATATTTTTATACGTGGTAGAGCCATGCTACAGTTATATTTGTAGTATAGTTGTAGTACGAGTAGGTCGGCTAGACCAAGGAAGGACCACGCTCTCGCAGAATACCTGCGTAAAATAGTAGCTTAATGCTGCTGTGTTTCGTATGGTGAGTGTAGAGAACCGGAAACCCTTTTTTTTTGGAAACGAGACATTCCATCTTAGTCCTCACGGGTAACGCAAACGCATGTTGATTTGTAATCGAAGATAGATGTAGATGTATAATATGATAGATGATGGTAAGTTATTAATAACTTACCATCAGGTGGACTGTGTCCTCGTTTGTCACCCTATCCTATAAAAAAATTACTAGTGCGGTGATGAGCTGCAGGCTGCAGCGTTAAAGCTACGAGTCGTCTGGAACTGCGACCGTAAAACCTCCTGCTAAGCGCAACGGTAACGCCTAATCGAAAGTTATTAGATTAAGTTTTAATTTAAGTTATTTGATTTAGATTTAACATTATTAGTTTTAAAGGGTCCGGGCTATTGATCATTACATTTCTGAGAACGTTCAAAAAATAAAATATAGTAATATTTTAAGGTTTTAGTGAATTTTCGAAGTTATAGTATACATTTTGTGTATTCCACTTTCTACTATTACCCTTTTAGCACATCTAAATCAAATTATCTTTGCGGAGATCCGACTTTGTCAGCGTTCCAAAAATTTCCTGATGACACGTTTGAGCAATGTATAAATATCCGTGCTATTAAAATACCATTAATTACTCGTTCATATTAAACAATGTTCAGTTAATAAAACGTATGAAAGGATAAATATTAGGGATAAATTTTACTTATGAAATTGCCGTTTTTCAGTAGTAGTTTATTGATGCCCTTCTTGAAGAAATCAGCTGAATAAATTCTTCAAAGACTTTTTGTATGGCCTCTTCGGTACTTATTTTTTTTCCCGCCAAAAAGTTATTCAAGTTATGTAAAAAGTAGTAGTCTGTAGGCGCATGGTCTAGTTAGTACGGCGAATGATGGAGAGCTTCAAACCCCAGCTCTTGTAACTTGATAGAACATCTGTTGTGCAGTATGAGGTCGCACGTTGTCGTGCAGGAGCAGCGTGGACAAGCGATTGGCTAAAGCTGGTTGAAAATGTGCAGGCTTGTTGGTATACAACTGCAATAATGCTCATCCCGTTTGGTAATAAGCTGTGGTGAATCACACCGGCGCTAGACCACCAAAGAGCGACCATCACTTTTGTAGTGGTAAGTTTTCGCTAAGGGCATTGTTTGGGTTCTGATCCAATCAACTTGCTGAGCACTTGCGGATGTTATACAGATTTCATTTTTCGCCGCAGGAAACGATACGGTTCATAATTGCGTTGTTTGTGTGCCTGTTGAGCAGTGCAAGGTAGGTCTCGACGCGTACTTCGCGCTGGCGACCATTGAGTTCGTTGGGAACCCATTTGTCAAACTTTTGTACCTTGCCAATTTCACGCAAATGGACCAATATTCTTTTGATGTTAACGTACAAAGCTGTTATTGTATTTAGCTTTCACAATCGCCTTTGTTTTGTCATTGTTGACCATAATTTTCAGATGACCACGAGGTACATTTTACAGGTCGAAATTTCCAGAACGGAAGCGGGCAAACCAATAACAAATGGTGCGATCGTTTGTAGTATTCATTCCGTAAATATATACGTTGATACACGTGCCACTTGTAACGCGTTGCTGCCACGACAGTGCTTATATTCCATAATTACTTCAAGTTTTTAAGGTAGGTGGATACACGATGACGAAAACGATTCAAATGCGATATAAACTCAATGAACAAATGACTAATTTAAAAAAAGCATTCCATGTTTTTATTATAAAATGTCATTTAAAATAAAAAATCGAATTCAAAATTAGAAATCATATACAAGCAAAAATTATTTTGATTTGAGATGAAAAGAATTGCAGAACAGCATTTTCATAGACCTTGTTATATTTCATGGAATTCATTAGATTTCAGAAGAGCACATTTTAATTGTAGTTATAAATAGCTCAAGGCTTTAATTAACAATCTTACTCGTATTACGAGAGTTGACAACCGTGATAATTAAATACTATAACCCGCGCGGAGTAGGTTTGCGAAAGGTTTTTATTATTAGTATTAGAATGATTAGTGGTATACAAGCATTTTTAATGTTAGTGTAACAAACGAGCTGTGGTTGATAGTAGTCCATTTGTAGCTGGAACCATTTTTACCAGAGAAGATTACAACTGGTACCGACAGTGGCTGCTTAGTCGTGCAAATTTGTAAGAGGGAGAAATACAGTTACTTAGGTGGACTCCCGGACAAAAAGAGGCTTTTAAACAAAATTATTAAAGAAAATATAAAAGTTGTAAAATGTTGAAAATGTAATAATGTATGTTTATAAATACTTACGCAATAGCATCTATCATATCCAAGCCCATTTCAACACAGCACTTGGCGTGGTCATCACGAGCCTCCGGTAGTCCTGACACGCAGTAGTAGCAGTCGCCAAGGAGCTTGATACGAAGGCAGTGATGCTCAGCAGCCAGGCGGTCAAATCTAGGAAATTTTAATTGATGATTATTAGTTTTGGTTTAAATAAATAGTAACAAAATTACAACCTAACCATTTCATATAGACTACAATGGTGACTTTATTTTAACACACATAATTATATGTTTTCACATTTTCACTTCATAAAGATATTATATTTCCATTAAACATTACTATTTACGGATTTATTTGAAATTGTGGAAAATAGGATCTTAGAGCAACCTGTACTTAGAGCTTAGACAACTGTCGCGCAGCGGTCATATGGCGGGGTCACGAATCATAACATCGAATCATTGAAATTAAAACAAATAAGCAATACTATTGTAGGAAAGAAACATTGTCAGCAAGCTGGCGGCGTAGGCGACGTGTGCCCCTCATTCCGAGAGACACCAATGAGAATAGATATACACGGTCACATCTGAATATTATGATGAATGATTTTTCACAAGTTATTATCCATCCATTAAAGCCTATAAAAGTCAATTGCTGAATATAGGCTTCCCTCATAGACCATGTTTTTATTAGTGGTAATTTAGATTTTTCCGAGTTAGATATATTTTTAAATGTAGCAGTGCTTATGAAAACTGTCTGTAACAATTGTAATGTTAAAGGAAAAATTATGATTCTCTTTGATGTCAATAAAAACATTTATAGTTAAAATGTGTATTAACGTTTAGACGCATCCTTCAAATACTTTTAGGTCTTAACCCAAAGAGAATATAATCACTACGTTTATTTTAACCACTTGATAAGAAGTTATAACTTTGTATAAACCTATACCTTAATCGATATTACTAGGTGGAGTACCTTACTACCCTAATATTAATAAGTTATTTTGAAATATTAAGTTCAGTTATTATCAAACTAGTCTGGCCATAAAAATACTGTTACATAAAAACTTTACTTTTTTTCAACTTTTTAATTATTTTGAATTTGGAACGCTTTTATTATTTTTAAAAGTTCTATCGATTTCACGCTATTTCACATATTTTTTCTGGTTCATTATCAAACTACAATATGGAATGGGGTGTTAAAGGAAATAGGATTGCGGTAATCGGCTTGCACAAAGTGGGTATGGAGCTGTAGTCGGTCATATTCCAGACACTTCAAAAGCTTGGTATCAGCCGTATGTTCGTATATCGTACTATCAACAGATACCACAACACTTCTTCTATCGAAGACCACAAAAAATCGGGGGGCCGCCTGCTGTTAGAACTACAAAGGTTGTTAATGCTGTTAAAGCCAGAATTCGTCGAAATCCCATTAGGAAGCAAAAAACCTTATCATTATAAATGAAGATTCCCACTAGAATTCTGTCGCGTATTATAAAACAAGACTTGAAGCTCGGTGCTTATCGTCGATATACAGGACATGCCCTAAATCAATCTTTACAATTAAAGAGAGTAAATCGACCAAAACGCCTTCTGTCGCGATACGCAGGTGAAGAGCACAGAAATATCCTCTTTACCGACGAAAAAATATTCACGATTGAAGAGCACTACAATAAGCAAAATAATAAAATGTACACTCATAGTTCTAAGGAAGCTGTTTAAGTGGTCGGAAAGGTACAGCGTGGTCATCATCCTGCGTCAGTGATGGATTGGTGGGGTGTGTCTTTTCAAAGCATCACAAAGCTACATTTTTGTGAAAAAGGAGTGAAAACTTCAGCCAAATTGTATCAAGAGACAGTCTTGGATCATGTTGAGAAACCTCTCAGTAATACACTTTTAAAAAATGTACCGTGGACTTTCCAGCAGGTCTCTGCACCTGGTCACACACCACCAGGCACGAACTACCCAAACCTGGCTTGAAACCAACGTTCCGGACTTTACAAGAGCTGAAGACTGGCCCTCATCTAGCCTAGACCTCAACCCTTTAGTTTAGTTTAGTGTGAGTGTGAGTGTGAGTGTGAGTGTGAGTGTGTGTGAGTGTGAGTGTGTGAGTGTGTGAGTGTGTGTGTAGTGTGTGAGTGTGTGAGTGTAAGTGTGTGTGTGTGTGTGTGTGTGTGTGTGTGTGTGTGTGTGTGTGTGTGTGTGTGTGTGTGTGAGTGTGTGTGAGTGTGTGTGTGAGTGTGTGAGTGTGTGTGTGTGTGTGAGTGTGTGAGTGTGTGAGTGTGTGAGTGTGTGTGTGTGTGTGTGAGTGTGTGAGTGTAATTTTAATAGAATATTGTTTTTATTTTTTGCTGAGACTAAAATATGTAATATTTTATATAGTACTACTTTAAAAAAAAAATGCAATTTCATTTGTAACAGAACTTATGGACGGACTAGGTATATTGAAGCATTTTATAATGTCAATAGAAATGGTGTTTTTGGTTATATTTTTGTTAACTAATAAATACTGTTAAAAATGATGTTCGAAAATGGGTATACTAAAATTACAAAAATACCTCTTAATTATTTTATGAACGATTCTATGCTAAAAAAAGGCCATATAGCTTCAAAAAGGTATTACTCGTACGTTTAGTAGTCTCTGATGATATTTATAGTAGAACCATAATAATCGACATAGTCGGCGAAAGATATAGCTTGAAGATGCGACAACCGATGGTGAAGAAAACTTTTCAAGAGGCAGCTTCGCACCGTTGTGTGAAGTATAAGGCTGTACTCGTACACTAGATGAAATTTAAAGTAACAAACTGGTAAGACAAGTTCAACCATCAGTTTCATCTATCTATCTATTACAAACTATAGGGAGCATTTTGCCATAGTTGCCAGGCTCGGCAGGCGGGTTGGCACCCGCAGATTTTTATTTTTACTTAGTTGTTATCAGGAAGAGGCTGTTAACCATTTCCTGTTTTAGGTTTTCCTCTGTCGCCTCTTACGACATCCACGATATGGGGTAGTTTGTATTCTTACACGGTCAGTTTCATCGCATGCACTTAAAACCTCAAGCGATGTACCAGTTCAAAACAGATGTAAATGTACTTCAGTGAGAAATATCTGTTTCAATGGACTTTTTAAGACAATTTTTTGACTTACTAAATGAACTCGGCTTTGCAGTGATTAATTCAATCTGGTTGAATAAAATTCAGTAAATTCAATTAACTGCCGATTGTTATTTAACGACCGCCGCAATTAACTTAATATTTTTCCTAATCTCCAATTTTCATCACAGTTTGATTTGATTTCATTTAAAAAAAAATCTTGAAAATACTCTATTTATACTGAAATATTTTAATAATAAATTTAAATATACCTACACATATACTTAGTATTTAGTAATTATTTGCGTTTTTGATAAATAGTAATCTTATCTTCTTATTGTTACGAAATAAACACTACTTTGTAAGTACTATATTATGTAAATGTACAACAGGCGATTTTTTTTTTACTTTAAGAAAAGAAAGATTTTGTGTTGCTATTATATACGTAAAGAAATTATGCAACTTCATTAATGAAAGAAGAGGGTGTGGAATAATATATAAACGCTCACGCCTGTCACCCAGAGGGGTAGGCAGAGACTACGGACTTCCATTTGGCACAATCCTGACATACCTCTTTCGCTCCTTTACATCCATATATCTACGCATACATGCTCGTCGGTTAAGGGTACTTCTAACGTGGCCCATTTTCAAAATATCGCCAATTTGGTTGATAAACTTTTTTCTAGGGCGTCCCTTCCCGACTCGGCCATTCATATCTGCCATATAAATTTGCTTTGTCACTCTTTCCTCATTCATTCTTTCTACATGACCAAACCACCGAAAGCATTCCTTTCTTAATCCTAGTCACAACATCATCTTGCATACCACATTTATCTCTTATCACGCAATTTCTCACCCTGTCATTCAAATTCAACCCTAGTATGTTCCTTAAAGACCGCATTTCTACAGCATTTATTCCACTTTCGTGCTTCTTCTGCCACACCCAACTTTCACTACCATACATTAAAGTAGGGACTAACACAGGATTATGAATTACCATACGTGCCTTTTTTGACACATTCTGGTTCTTCATAATAGAGTGTAGTGCCCCATTCACTCTATTCCCTGCATTTACTCGTCGTTCTATATCCCTATCATATCTACCATCCCTGCTAAATACACATCCCAAATACACAAACTCATCCACTTGCTCAATTAACTCTCCTTCTATTCTTATTTCACATACCGTTTTGCTTTCTTCTCTTTCAAAAACCATCACTTTCGTCTTACTTGCGTTCACTTTCATTCCCTTTTCTTTTAATTCCCAGTTCATTAATGTAACCAACATTTGCAACTCAGCCGCCGATGACGCAAATATGACTTGATCATCGGCATACAGAAGGCATTTGACGGTTAACTCGCCCAATCTTAACCCACATTCTTCATCCTTCAAACTTTGCAAACACCTGTCCATAAATAGGTTGAACAGCCAAGGGGAAGCTACACAGCCCTGTCTGACACCTTTTTGGATGCCAAACCAGTCCGAGTAGACCCCATTGATCCTGACACAAGCACTAGAGTTCCTATAAAGAGACCTTAATGCCTGTATCAAACCAGCGCTCAACCCATATGAGTTCAGTGTTTGCCATAACACATTCCTGTCCACTCTGTCATAAGCCTTTTCCAAGTCCATGAACGCACAAAAAACTTTCTGGTTTTGGCCAAAAACTTCTCCGCAATCATGCGCATGGAAAAGACTTGATCTGTACACCCCATTCCCTTTCTAAAACCCGCTTGCACATCCCAAATTTTTCCATCAGTTTCTTTCATAACTCTTTCAATTAAGACCTTAGCATACAGTTCATATACAATGCTAAGCAAGCTGATACCACGGTATTTTTACAGTCCTGCTGTGACCCTTTTCCTTTATATATTGGTACTATAACTGCTTTACACCAGTCAACTGTGGAACTAATAAATAAAATTAAAACTGAGGATGATAAAATATTATTTCAATTAGTATAATGGTGCCGAAACAAAAATTAAATCTATGAATAATAGTTTATGTGAAAAATAAAGATCGGTAGTATTCAATCATAAAAGAAAGTATAACATTTTATTTTTACAGATTGAGATCCAT